CAAGTGCAGGGTGCTGCACTTAGGCGGTAGGAACCAGCAGCATAGCTATAGGCTGGGGAACTCCCTTCTCGAAAGCACGGTGGCAGAAAGAGATCTTGGATTCATTATTGAATGACTCCAAGATGAACATGGGCCGATAATGCGAGGACATGGTCAGTAGGGCTAACCATACCTTGTTGTGAATCCACAGACGCATCACAAGCAGGGCCAAGGAGGTGATCCTCCCCCTCTATGCGACACTGGTCAGCTGCAGCTGGAGTATCATGTCCAGTTCTGGGCGCCACACTTCAGGAGGTATGTGGACAGCATTGAGAGGGTCCAAAGGAGGGCCACTCCCATGATCCGGGGACAGCAGAGCAGGCCCTACGAGGAGAGGCTACGGGACTTTAACCCATTCAGCCTTAGCAAGAGAAGGCTGAGGGGGGACCTGGTGACCGTCTACAAACTTACTAGGGAGGACCAGCAGGGATTGGGAGAGACCTTGTTCCCTTGAGCACCTCCCGGAGTAACTAGGAATAACGGCCATAAGTTGCTAGAGAGTAGGTTTAGACTAGACATTAGAAGGCACTACTTCACAGTCAGGGCAGCTAGGATCTGAAACCAACTTCCAAGGGAAGCGGTGCTCGTTCCTACCTTGGGGGTCTTTAAGAGGAGGCTTGATGTTTACCTAGCTGGGGTCATTTGAGCCCAGTTTTCTCTCCTGCCCAAGACAGGGGGGTCGGACTAGAAGATCTACAAGGTCCCTTCCAACCCTACATCTATCAATCTATTAATGTACCCCACAAACTGGATACTGGGGTTTGATCTTTGAAAAATATCTGCAGTTAGCAAAATGACATGACATATTTTACTGGGCTGATGAATAAAACCCAAATGGATTGTGGACTGCTACGTTGCTTCCATTATTTCAAATTAAGCCTGAAAAAGTGATATTTTGCTGATATTACACCAGGATGGAAGAGGGACTGTAGGAGTGTCTCTGCTTTTTATTTGTCCTTAGAAACCAGGAAATGTAGTTTGTAATAACATTCAGCAAAATCATAAAGGATCAACTGTAAATAAAGAAATCAAATATCTCAGGTTTAAGTACAATTCTACTGTAGAAACCTCATATGTACTACAGACATATCTATCTGTATACAGTGCTTAATGAACATCTAGGAGGTTTAAATTTTAGGAAGCCAGGTTTGGAAGCTTTGAAAAGTAGCATCTTTACCAGCAAGAACACTAGATATTTTATCATTTTGATTTACCTCCTACAATACACTAAAAGTGGAAATGCGTGCAATTTCTAGGAAAGGGATACTAAAACTATTTGCAGACTAATTTGTCAAATCAGACATTTGAAAAAGATGAGACCCAAAGGCATGCTTCCGTGTGTTACCCAATGGATTAAAAGACAATTAATGTTTAAAAGGCTTCAGGCATTTCATTTAATGAACAGATTAAACTGCAAGGCAAAAAAAAACCCGACTTTCCTCATCTGTTTGTTTGACGTTCATGCTGTTACATGCTTTACACTTACTTAAACGCAATTAACCAAGCCTGCACTAATGCCAGGGATGCCAAGCACAGCTTAACTCTTCACTGCTTGGAAGAGTTGCTAACCATGAGTAGACCTTAGCTTATTCAAAGAATCAGCATACTAAGCAATGACTGAGGGCTGTATGCACATCACTCCATGCAAAACAACATGCACAGCTCATTCAGGCCCCAACACATTTACCATCTAAACTAGATACATTATGTAAAATTCACTGGTTCACCAAACACAGTTAAGTCAACGCCTGTGAGGGTTATTTGTTTGTTTAAATATTCAAAATTAAACTTTCTTGGGTAGAAAAATGCCAGAAACCCACATGGACGAAGCTGTGATTTTTAGAGAAGTAGGACTGGTAGGAAAAGAAGACAAGCAGAAAATGTCACTTCACCCAGAGAGAGGCAAGAAGAGTCAAGAGGTCTGACAGGTGGCTCAGGAAGAACCCCCCCAAAAAAGAGAGGAGGGGCATGAGGCAGTGAACAGAGATACAGTTAAGAGTCTCATTTAGATGTATGATGGCACAGATGTATCGTTGCCCTATTCCAATCTCAGAGAAATAAAGGGGGAAGTAGATCAAAAGAAGTTTTAAAGCTTTTTAGAATCCTCTGCAATCTAACACTAAGGGCTGGGTTGTCCTGAAAACCCCCAACGCTGGTCCTGAGAGAGCTCTGGGGGCCATTTGCACAAGAGGAAATAACTAACCTCACTACATAGAGTACAAGGAAACCAGCAGCACGTATGCAGACGAGCATAACAGAACAGTGAGTGGGTAAGATGGAGCATGTCAAAATATGACAGGGGGCCATAAAAAACCAGTAGCCTCCAGAGACAGATCTGTAAACCACCACACAAATGGAAGTTGCAGCCAGGACAGATAAAACCATTCAAAGACAGAGCCTAGAGAGAAAAGAGTAAGGGGACCAAGGATCAAAATGGTGATGGCCATTGACTGAGCAAGGCAAGGAAGAAGTTAGTGAAGGGAAAAGGTGAAAACATAAGGGCATTTTAAAAACTGAGGTTTATAATTTGCTATTTGTAACTGACAATAATTAATTGAGTCTCCTGTGACAGAGCAGATTTTAAATAGCATAATTCCTTTTAAAAAAATCTAGGTTTTTATCCAGCCTCTTGCTGATTTTTCTCAATGATCTTTCAAGCAGAGCCAAGAGCAACAACATGGAATGTGCACAGGTTCACTTCAAAGGTAAGGTTAAGTGGTGACTTTATTGTGGTCCTTAAGTACCACACTGGGAGAAAATTTGATAACATAGGGCTGCTTAAATTAATCAAAGCATAACAAAAGCTAACAGGTAGTAGCTGAAAATAGATTAATTCAGATGGGAAAGAAGTGAGAATGACTGACCCTGGAACAACTAGCTGACTTAGGGGCAGAGATTATAGCTTGAAGTATCCTAAATAAAAACTGTAGGTCTCCTTGAAAGAAATGCTCTTGCTCATCTGGAAGTTAACAGACTTGATGTAACATATCACCGAGTGATTTCTACAATCTGCATTATGCAAGAGGTCAGAAGAGATCATCATAATGGTTTCTTCTTGGCTTCTATGACTACTAATCTCTTCTCTCCTCCCACACCTGCAATTATGAGCGTAGTGATAAATGTTGCTAATGATGAAAGTGATCAAGTTGTATAGCCCACACACTTATTTAAAAAAACATCACAACTACTACCTAACCTTTGGGTTCATAGTATTCCATGTAGTATTACCTTTTAGTCAGTCAGTTACTGATCTATACTTCTGGGCATCTTTCTATGCCAACCCCTATGCCTAGGGTAAACCCCATCTCCTCCTCCTTGCATTCTGTTTTCCTAAAACCTTGGTCGTCTCCACTATGCTTTCCAGTGCTCACCTCTACCCGCAAGGTGTCTTCATTTATTAATGGTTATTTCAGGGGTCAGCAACACTTTTGGCCAGAATGCCAAACACACCCCAACCCTGATCCATACCTCAACTTGGCATGCCAGGGGGAGACCGCAGGGAAGCTGTGAAGGGCCTAATCCTCACTGGTGGCAGCAACTGCACGCATGCTTCCAGGCAGACAGTGGGGGAGGAGCCAGGGTTGCGCTGCCCCAGCCCCTTTCCTGCACTACGTCCCGAGGTGCGTGTGTGCAGTTGCCACTGGCACAGAGCTGGTGCCGGTCCTCCACAGCCTGGTGCAACTGTTTGCAGCATGCCAGTCCCTTCCTCTAGCTGCCCGGAGCCCAGGCTGGCTGGGGCAGCACAACCACAGCCTCTCCCCCACTGTCCACCCAGAGGTGCACATGTGGCCGCTGCCACTATGAAACCTGGCCAAGGGCTCCAGAGGCTGGTACAGCTGTTTGCAGCCTCCTGGCTGCCTACCACAGCCAGCCTGAGCTCTGACTACTTGTAACAGGTGGCTGGCAGGCTCTTGAGCACTGGCGCTGGCTCCATGGAAGTGGCAGCAGCAGTTGTATGCACATTTCTGGGCACATAGCGAAGGAAGGGCTGGAGTTGCGCTACCCCAGGCCCCTCCCCTGCCATCTGCCCAGAAACGTACATACACCCACTACCACCACAGAATCCAGCCAGGACTCAGGAGCCCAGTGCAGCTGTTTGCAGCCTCACAGCTGCAGCTGGTCCAGGACCTAGGCAGCTGCTGCCAGTCATGAAGCCTGAGCTGCCTGCAGCAGGGCTCGCAGCCTTCCTGCGACATGCAGCCTGGGCTGTGTGGCCAGCAGCAGCTGCCCCGAGCCTGGGCCAGCTGTGACACGTTGAGCAAAATGCCCTTGAGTGCCATATACTCTGGCACTCACGCTGGGCGTTGCCAACCCCCGGGTTATTCCAGGTTTTATAGCAATGCTAGACTCTAAGCACCAATGCAAGTTGTAGTATGCGCCTCTTAAGTGGCACATATTAAATACAGGTGATAAAGATAAACATTACTCTGTGGACATGTCAAGTACTACATTTTCAGTTGAAAAATTTGCTAAGGGGCAGGAATATCTTCTTGAGCTACTACAAAAGAATTTTAAACTGGCTCTAGAACTTTTAGCAACACTTAAAACATGATGGTAACTAATATATTTTCTGTGAAATCTTTGCCTACTTCCTAATTCAGCCCACCATGTTGTCCTCGTCACATGAAACACAGAAAAGAAAACTGTTCATCATACAACGTATTTAAAAACAAAAGTAACAAAAAACCCCAACCACAACTATCTTAATATCCATGCCAAAAGCAATGTTATCCAGAATATCCTTTCATACTCCTGGTCACACAATTTGGTTTTAGCATATCCTACCTATAGGAAAAGGAAGTATAAATAATGAACCAAACAACCTTAGTCTCTTGAAACTACCACAAAGAAGTGAAGCTAAAGATTACTATTCATTATGTAATCTCTAGCATAGTGATGTTACATCCATTACTTAAATTCCTGAAAACAGTGCAAACAGTTGCAACAGTGCAAGTACTTACTTGTCTCCAAAAAATTTCTTCCAAAATTCTGCAGCATCTGCTTTTGTGATACGGAAGTTGTCACCCTGGAACTGGCCGTTCGGAAAGATAGCTTTGATTTCTGCCAACATATGGCTGAAGATAAGGGACAGCTTTGTAAGATTTCGCCTGCAGGAACAAAAGAACAGTGGAACATCTTAATACTAGCAAATAAGTTTTCATTTTCCCATTTATTTTTAGTGTTTATATAATCATGATCTAATGGAGTGAAAACACAGAACCTCCCATGCAATTTCCAGGCAAGACAGTAAGTTTTACTATGTATTTTCACGTGTTAAAAATATTTCCATCCTAGTATCTATGCATACATTAATATTTCCATCCTAGTATCTATGCATACATTCCATCAACAAATTATACTTTACAGAAAGAAACTCAACTTTCATTCAGCAACAGAATAGGCTTTTTTTAATCACTTATGATGCCTTACGATTTGTCTCTTATCTAAGGTCAGAACCTGAATTTAACTTTTATATGTTGTAGGATTGCTTATTAAATTCCCACCTCATCAGTGCACAAGTACTGAATATTGGTTAATTGATTACTGTGCACATGGACAAATTACCGAAGACAAACTTTCAACTGTAATACAAATCAGATATCAACACAGGTTCTCAGAAATACAGAGTTAACCAGGCACTATACTACATCCTAACCATCCTGCCTATGGCATTTTTATTTTCACCTTTTCTTTATTGCAGAAGCATCTTACTGTGCAAAGGCCAGATGGTCCATTCCCAAATTATAGCCCTCAGGTTATTTTTTTTTTAAATCTTGTATCTACAAAGATTAAGTAATCACATGTTTTTAAAAACTCCCTTGACATGGCAGTCACTAACTAACCACATAATAAAATGTGTTCACCAACTGTGTGCAAGTATTTTGAAACTGCTTGTAGTTTTTTTGTTTTGTTTTAAGAAAAGCAGACATAAATCAGGTCTTTCTAGCCACATGGCAACCTTAAGGTCTAACAGATCAAGTTATCCAAGCGAACGGAAACGCTCTTTTTCAAAATGGAAAGAATATGATTTTCCTTGATCACTAAACTCAGAGAGTGAACCCAACTACCCAGCTTTTCCAAAAGAAAATTTTAACTAGAATTAAACAGAAATATGGAAAAATTTGGTCAGAAGAAACGAATATTCAGAAACTGGAAGAGGATTGTATAATGTAAGCTGAATTGCAGCAGGTTTTACTACCAAGAAAGCTATTATAACTATCATTATAATAAAAATCTATGTAATTAAAAAACCTGATGAGTATACACTCTCATATCCTAAAATGACTGTAGGGTTAATTCTTCTGAAGTCTTCCCATTAATGTAGCAAAGTCAGATGTCTATAATTAGGATGTCCAACTGTTCCTTATTCTCTGGATTTGTTCTTCTCTGTCCTCCTCGGTAAAGCCTTTGTTCCTTAATTAAACCCGTATGTTCTTTATTTTTTCCTCTGTAGAACTCAGGCCTGAAAATCAGTATAAACAACAGCCATCTCATGGTGACCTTTTCAATTGCCAAGTCCTCCTCCTCCTGCCCTTCACACCTTCAAGGTCCGTCCCCCACATCTGTGCAGACTTAACCACAAAGGGAAGAGCTATAGAATCAACAGCATTCAATGGGACTACTCGTGTGCTTTGACAGGCACGTTATTAGGTGCCTCACAGAGTACAGATCAGTGCAGATATTGCACTGCACTACACTACAGACCCCTCAAGCAACTTAGGTACAACCAAAGTTTGGGCAAGGAGTCAGACACCACTTTCAAGCAAAACTGCTCTTCCTTGATTTCATTAGGAATGTAGGCACTCTCTACTTGCCCCCTAAGACACCATGTGGATTGTGTCTAGCAGTGCACTAGATGCTTTGGTTTTGGAAATTATTCTGTAATTAAAGGGGCTTTCCTAACATGAATGGAAAGCAACCTATCCTAATAAGATAGGGCAATATTCCCTAATCTGTTATGAAATTTGATCTATTTTGATGCCAAAATAGATTAATTGCAATTAAAAAGCCAAGTTGACAAGGTACATTACCATAGTTGATGAGCTCTCTATTTAACTAGTGTTAAGTCACTGATGTCGTGTTTCATTAAATTAAAAAAATCCCAAAAGACCCAGAAAAGCTTTTTTTTAAAGTGATACATGCATTTAATATTCTAGAGAAGAATGTATAGTAAATGGCTTTGGAAATGAAGACTCATAACTAATATTAGAAAGAAAACAGTAAGTTTTGAAGGGAAGGTATACCACTAAGACACATTCAAACAAAAGCATCCAGATGAAAGTCTTGCACTGCCATCACTGCATAATCAAGGGCTAGCAATTTTCTAAATTGAGACACATTTCTTTATGGTTCCAAAAAAATTAAGATGTAGATCAGATTTATGCTGTTCTAACTTAATAAATTTTGTGCGTTATAAAAATATTTTCCCCAAAATGACAGCATTACAAGGAGTTATAAAAGTGTAAGATCACTTATTTAGAGCCAGGTACAATTTTTTTCCATATTAAAAAAAAACAAAACCCCAAATGTTTTAATTCTTTTTTGCATAAACAAATACAAATAAAACACATTTTCCACTTAAATATATCTCCTCAGTTTTTTTGCCAATTTGAATGATAAAACAAAAAACAAACACAGAACTTGCACAAAGAATGTGTATAAATCGTAGAACATCCCTCCCAAAACCAGTGCCAACTGCATGGGCATGTTCTCAACTGTGTTTGGCACAAAAAGGGAAAGAAGAGTCAAAGTCTTTAAATGATCTACATTCTACTCCAATCCTCAGGTTCCCTTCCTCCAGTACGCAATTCAGGGGCTATTCTAAATTGTGCTCAGCTATACTACCCCATTTCAATTTGGGATGACCAGACAGCAGCAGCACTCCAGCCATTACATCACTATCACAATCTCAACAGGTCCTTATTATTGGCCCAATCCTGGCAGGAAGTGGTGGTGCTGGGCCCCTGGGGCTCAATTCTGGCACACTGGGCAGGGATTGAGCGGTGCCAGGGTCCAGGGCCTGATCCTGATGCATGGGGCTCAGTCCAGCTAGAGGACCAGCCACATGACATTTATCTGGCTTCCATGGCCAAAAGGCTGAGTGCCAATGAGGTAGACAGGCTCTGCTCCATAATGACTTCTTACTTCAACAGATACTATTCATAGCACTAGAGGTTTTTAGAATCAGAAACACAAATTCTGACAACTTCTCCTCTGTACAGTTTAGATGAGCATGGATTACCAATGAGCATAAAGAAGTACAACAAAGAACGTGAGTGCTCCTTTCCCTTTCCTTGCTGGGCCAAAAAGTCATCCTAATTTGGAAAACCTGCTTCAGACCTCTGTGCCTCATCAGCCCTATACAGGAGTTGCACATGGAATTTCTCATAAGTGCCTGGCAGGGAGTGTCCAAAACCCTCTGAATACTCTATGAAAGCTTTCTATGACATCCCATGTAGCCACACTGGGACTATACCAATTGAAAGACCAGGTAACACATTACAGATGCACTCTTATATAACCAATTATATATTTCATAGACATTAGGGCTGGAAGGAACCTCGGAAGATCGAGTCCACCCCTTTTCCCTAGGGGCAGAAAGTTAGCTAGGGTCAAAGGAGCCCATCAAGATAAGCATCCAAATGTCTCTTAAAGGAGTCCAGATTAGGTATGCACTGTATATAGATCTGCAATCAGCTTCCTCAGTCTTCTATAAACTCACTGATGACTTCCTTATTTACTGGAAGACTGATGTCCTCATATCAAGAGACTGCCAGTGGCAATGATAGTTTCAGTATCCTGAGCAACTGGCACGCAGACTCTACAATTACTCTGTAGGCACACAGACATCCTGGTACTAGGCTGGAGGTGTGCATTTCCTTTCCCAGACCTACCTACAAAGTGCCTACATGCTTTCATGAATTCCAATAGCACAACTAGAGTGGAGTGACAGGGGCACCCACCTCGGGTGCCAATGTGGGTGATGGTGAAAAATCTTCTTTAGCCACAGCTGCACAGTCACCATAGCAGAAACAACCAGATGTTTTGACAGCCCTGCACATGGCAGCTGCCCCAGGCACCCTGCCACATATTACACTGGTGATGAATTTCATCCTGGGTTAATGTGTTGTTGTACTCTGAGAAGATAAAACTGGGAATGATAAGCTGAAAGACACCGTGGAGTATTTACCACAAGCAGCTTGGTCTACTACAAAGCGTGAGTGTGGGTCCTTCTGCACTCTTTAGTGTTAATAAAACACTGGGTAGAAATGTGACCTGTTAAGTAAGGCACTGGAGTTGGATTCTTTAGACCCTGGTATCAATGCCCAGCTCAGCCACATTCTCGGTGTGACATTTAGAGAGTCTCTTTCTCCCTAAATACATCCCCCCCCGTTTCATGAGGCAGTTGTGTGGATGAAATCCATTAATTACTCCAAATAGTCACATACTACGGTTATTTCAGATTCAGGTATTAAACTATTTAAAAGATACACCAGAGGAGATGCACTTGGATTGTTTGAACCAATCCTGAGAAGATTTAGATGTTCCTTTCTTCCAAAGTTTCAAGCTCAAAAAAAAAAATAAAGATATATAAAAAATCATCATCACACAATGAAAGAGTGAAGTGAAGAGAACAGAACAAGGGAAATCCAGGATGCTTGAGTATATCCTACCTTTTTACTGCACTGGCATACATAAATAAGAACTTCATTCATGTTAAATACAAGAATGGTTACTGTGGTAATAGGAATATACATTATGACTAATTAACAGCATTAACTTAATTTTACAGGCTGAACAGCTGCTTCTTTTCCCATTTCATCTGAAGCCGATTGAATACCTAGTATAGATCCTCCCCTGTGTCAGTCTGATTTTCATTGCATTTACAATTAGAGCTTTTCATCTGAAAATCCAGTTAGGTTTCTACAACTCACCTGGAGTCGCACAGTATTTTCAGCTTCTACATATGGACTGCCACTGGAGAGGTAGTACATAGTTTCATAGTAGCTAGGGTCAGGAGGGACCTGAACAGATCATCTAGCCTGACCCCCTGCCACAGGCAGGGATGAAAGCTGGGGTTCCAAAAAC